TATTTAAAATATTAATGTATTCATTTTTTTAGTGTAGTATGTTTTAAATGAGTGAATGTCCTACCCGTACATTCCGTATCTCTTATGTTTTAAGCGAGTTAGGTTGCACGGACACGAGATACAGGAACGTATGGATACAATAATTTTTAAAAAAGATAGGACATCCACATGTTTAGGTCATAGTACACTAAATAAGTAATACATTAATATTTCAAATAAATAAACAATCATTTATAATAAATCATAAACATAAAATATAAAAATATTTAATTTCTTATTTCAACAACACAAAAGCAAATTTAAAAAAAAAACACTTTATTTTTGTTGGTAATAAAAAACCCTTGGTTGGTTAGTTTGGTGTAAGGAGTAGTCTCACACACCAGGAGTTAAGTTGCATGGACACGAGATACAAGAACATACAAATACGACAATTTTTAAAAAGTAGGACATCCATTTACTTAGGACACACTACGCTGAATAAGTAATACATTAATATTTCAAATAAATAAATAATCATTTATAATAAATCATAAATATAAAATAAAAAAATACTTAATTATTTCAATGTTAAAATTCTCAAAAAAATTATTATCACTATTGGAAAAATATATTAATAGTGTGTATGCATTTATGTAGAGTCCATAAACATGGCATGACTTTTGTTCATATAATACGTTTATTGAAAAGATTTCGTATTGATAGTTAAGAAGACATTATCTTTAGGCATTGCCAACTTTTTAACATATCTGAATAGATACAATCTATATCTGAATAAGATACAATTTATCATTTTATTATATAATTTTACTATTTTTAAATGATGTTATAAAATACTATTTCATCTTTTAATATTACTCTGCGCATCATGCAAGTTATAAGAAAAAAAACAATTATATTTTCAGATAGTATCATAGAGGAGGAAAAAATTAAATTAATATTAATAAGCAAAAACTATTTTATTTGGAAATAAGAAAGGAATATAATGGAAAAGAATTCTGATAATTGTCTCTTCAAATTAGAAAGAAAATAAAAAAACTATAAAAATAAAATAAATTTTTAGAGAAAAATTAATTTTATTTTTTATTTATATCCAAAAAAAATAAGTAACAAAAGTTTTTTCTGAAAAAAAATTTAGTCCCTTCTCTTTTCTTTGATTATTCATTAATAAAAAAGATACAAAAATAAATTAAAAAAACACTTCATCATGCGATACGTGAACGTAGGCGATACGATAGTTTTTAAAAAATTAGAGATTTACACACTTATGATACACTACACTAAATCAATATAATACATTAATATTTCAAATAAATAAATAATCATTTATAATAAATCATAGATATAAAATAAAAAATACTTAATTTCTTATAATAAAAAATACTTAATTTCTTATTTCAATATAATTAGTTAAATTCTCAAAATTATTATCACTGTTGAAAAATACATTAATATTGTGTGTGCATTTTTTGATGCAGGTCTACTAGGGGTATTAAAATGAGTCATGACACGCGAACACGATTCGCCTAACACGCGAAATAAATGGATCAGGATTGAGGTTAAACAAACTCTTATCATAAACAAGTCACCCACGAATATAAATGTATTGTGTCACGAGTTGACACGCGGGTTAGACGAGTTACCCGTCTATTTAAGAGTAACAAGGTAATTTTAGTATTAGACACAAATACTGCAGCTAAAACTTATTTAGATTTTATTGTTGTATTACTTTTTTATTGTAATTATAAATTTTGAAGAATTTATGCATTTTATATGTGAAAATTTATTTTTAAATATAATTGGAGTTAAATAGGTTAAAAGTTAAAAATAGCATAAGCAGGTTAAGTGGGTCTTATATAGGTCAACACATCTACTTAATCTATTACTTTAATTCTATATTTATGATATTTAAGCGGAGTTAAATAGGTTAAAAGTTAAAAATAGCATAAGCAGGTTAAGTGGGTCTTATATAGGTCAACACATCTACTTAATCTATTTATGATATTAAGCGGGTTACACGAGTTGTATATGGATCAACGCGACCTACTTAACCTGTTTATGATATTAAGCGAGTTAAACGTATCGTGTTCATGTCAGCTGTCTAATTTTTGTTGTGTGTATCGAAATTATAAAAAATTATTTTATCCTTAAATATTGCGATGCGCGGATTCTAACACTAATAAGAATTAAAAGCATTACAACAAATCAAGATAGCAATTCATATAAAAAAAATTTAGAAAAATTTCAAAATTGATCATTAACAAGAAATTTTTTTATCTATTATGAGAAACTCTTTTTTTTTTTTTAAATATTCTTTCTGTTTCGAAATTTTTTGTCTTATGGAACATGGAGAAAATAATATAAAGTTTTTTTAAAATATAGAGACAAAGTTATTAAATATGGCGAACTTAAAAAATATGAGGTTGTGTTGATTGATGATATTTGAATTATTAAATTTAAAAATTTAATGTATATACAAGATTTTTTTTGTTTGGTCGAGAAAAAACACGCTACCATTTTTAAAAAAGAAATAAATCTCACCTAAAATTCATTGTTTTTATTATAAATGGTGAAATTTAAATCACTAAATTTTATTTTAAAAACACCTTTTCAATTTATGAATTTTATTTTTCTATCAACAATGAAATTTAAAATAGTTTCATTAACGTTGTAAAATATTAATATTCTATGAATCCAAATAATTTATGCAAAACAATTTTTCATAATGGTGAACCATCCGCTTCTAGATTTTTTTAAGGATCTTTTGGATATGCAATCTAAGGTCTCACGCAAAAGTGGAGCACTCTTTCCTGATTTATGAGGCAATCACAATACAGTTAGGAGTTAAATTTGGCCATTATTGTTTTCAGGGGATCCTACCTACCTCCAGTGTTTCCCCCAAAGTTCAGGAAATCATACAATTTTTTTTTTAATTATTATTTTTTATTTAACATGTCTATGTGTTGTGGTTTCCTGCATTCCATGGGATGTTATCGATCCACACAAAATAAGATTTCTATAATTAATTATGTGGAAAATACATAAATTTACTCGAGATAACTTATTATACCTCTAAAATTATAAATTTCAGTAACACGTACCCTTTTTTATACTAATCAACGAGTGTTTGACATGAGTGATTCAATATTCTTGTTCCTTAAGTGAGGCTGCGAATTCGATTCTATGTATAGAGAGAATGTCTAAATGTATACAAATTTATAGAGGAACACAAGCTTTGCAAAATTAAGGTTTAACAATTAAATTTTAAGTTGCATTTAATCCACTAAAAAACAAAAATTCAACAAAAGGAGTAGGTGATATAAAAAGAATTAAAAATGGATAAATCCAATCAAGTCTAAGTTGATATTTAAACTAGAAGATTTCGTTGCCAACACAATTGATTTGGGTATAGAGTTTAGTGGGAATCGATCCAAATTGCATATTTCTTTATGTGAGTCTCTCTTTATCTATTTCTTGATTTTAGAGGAAAAAAGAGAGTATTCAGATTTGATTAAGAAAGAACGGAGATTGATGATTGCTTTTAATTAGAACTCAGAAAGGAGATTAACGGTAAGGCCTATAGCTGGAGTTTATGCTTCTTGCTGGCGTGAAGATATGAAAAAGAGAAGATGATGAGTAAATAATGGAAATAACCTTGCAAGTTAACGTTCTATATTATCTTTTTAGGGCATCTGATGACATGTCATCTATTTTTATTGATTCAAAATATAGCTAATTAGACATAATCTATCTAAGAATTTCTCTTAAAAAAAAAACAACATGCTCTCCACTTTGATACTTAGCAAAACTCAACTTATGGATGAGACTACTCCTATACACTAGGTACATGGAAATTTTCGTGAATGTAGAGACGGAGACAAGAATTAAAGTTAGGGAACTAAAAAAATTCAAGAGTTAAGGGCGAAGAAATTGAAAATTTTACTATTTTAAAAGGTAAAATAAAAAAATTGGTTGGAGGTTGAAGCCACCCCTAGTCCCCTAGATCCGTAACTGCATAAATGGTTTTTAAAATAACTTGTTACTACTATTTTATTCTTAATTTAAGAGAATGATGAAAAATACCCTCATTTGGACAAAAAAAATTTTATTTTTGATTGGTTTGACTTATATCAACCCAATAGTTATTATCATTTAAAAAATTTATTGCTTTTTTTTTTTTTTTTTTTAATGATCAACCCAATAGTTATATTTCATTTTAAAAAATTTATTGCTTTTTTTTTTTTTTTTTTTTAACTGTAAGCTCATAAAAATAGCTTATGTATTTGCATCAGAAACAAGAACATCATACAGAGAAACTTAGAGGCATTACACCACGGATTCAAAATAAGGGCGTATAAAAGATATTTCTTCTAATCGAATGAGTATGTGATTTTTTTTTTTTTTTTTTAACTGTAAAGCTCATTAGCTTATGTTATTTGCATCAGAAACAAGAACATCATACAAGAAACTTAGAGGGCATACACCCGGATTCAAAATAAGGCGTATAAACAGATATTCTTCTAATCGAATGAGTAATGTGATTCGCTGACCTTCTAGCAAAAACAAAAGAAATATCCATTAGCTCATGTAATAGAGCTTTGCAATCCAAAACTGCTTAATCAAAATAAGAAATATCAAAATTGTCAGATTTAAGAGCATGAATAAGAGCCTGACAATCAGATTCAATGCAAACTGAACTGAAATCAGTTTAACTTATTACTATTTTGTACCTTTTTCAGTGAAAAAAGCATAAATATCCTCACTTGTGTCGAATGTATTTATCAGATTAACTTGGCATATACCAGAAGTAAACAAGTTATAATTATAGACAGACTGCCTGATAGATATTTCTCTTGAAAATGAGAGTTCAACAATCTCACCCGAAGACGAAGGGTTCTACTAGTAGATATCATCTGTCAGGCTCGTGAACCTTGACTTGTATCAACTACACACAAACACTCTCTTCTCTCTTAGTATTCCTATAAATATGTCTCCACTTCTACTGCAATCTTTCAAGCTCTCCACTCTTTATAATAGATGGGTAGCACTTCTTGTTATTGCTTGTTTCTAATTTTGATTCTCTTTTTTCATTCTTCTTTCATTTATAATGTAGCTGCTGATAATGCCACAGTTGGATTAAAGAGAGAATCTCCAGACACAATCATTGGAGGCAGCAGCGACGGCTATGGTCCTGCTCCTCCGCCTGACTATCCAACTTCGCCTGAAATCAAAGAATGTGTAACACCTCTTACGACACAGCCACCGTCATGCCTTCCTGCAAACATTGTGCGAGATTTCAAATCAATTCAGCAATTCAAGAACCAAATTACCTACGATCCGTTGGAAGTAACAAAATCTTGGAACCAGGATAACTTCAATATCTGTACATATAAAGGCTTTACTTGTGCTCACAGGCCTGACAGCGGCGTGCTTTCAGTAGCAGCAACAGACTTCAATGGCTATAATTTCAACGGCCCGAATTTGGAAATCAAAGATTTTATTGATAAATTGAAAGACTTGACAATCTTCCATGCCAACTCCAACAACTTCACCGGAATCGTACCAAACGATATTTCCATCCAAAACATAAATTTCCTCTACGAGTTCGATATCAGCAACAACAAGTATACCGGTGGGTTTCCTTTTCCGCTTCTCAGTGCTAGAAATTTAACCTTTTTAGACATCAGATTCAATCAATTTTCCGGTCCAATTCCACGGGAAGTCTTCATGTTAGACTTAGATGCCCTTTTCCTCAACAACAACCAGTTCAACCAGCAACTTCCTGACAATGTTGGCAATACATCGGCGTTATATCTCACTTTTGCTAATAATAACCTTGGCGGCCCAATTCCTAGCAGTATTGGCAATGCTAAAAATTTATTAGAAGTGCTTTTCCTGAAGAACCAGTTTACAGGATGTTTGCCATATGAGATTGGAAACTTGAAGAAAGCTACCGTTTTTGATGTAAGCTGTAATATGCTTACTGGTCCAATACCACATTCTTTTGCTTGTTTGGCCAAAATACAGATCCTGAACTTAGCCAACAATGGGTTTTACGGACCCGTGCCTGAAATGGTTTGTCAGCTGCCAAATCTGCAAAATCTGTCTTTATCAGGGAATTTTTTTACTCAGGTTGGACCTGAGTGTAGGAAATTGATTATGTTGAAGAGAATTGACGTTGGACAGAATTGCATTTTGGATCTTCCATATCAGAGATCAGCAGATGAATGTAAAGAATTCTTTTCTAAGCGAAGAACATGTCCTAATGAGAAGTCATTGACCTATGTTCCTTGCAGGAAAAATTGGCATCGCAATTCAACAGTGCCGGAGCAATCAACCATTGCTGTTCCTCCATCTCCTAGATCATATGAGGCTCTTTCTCCAAATAATAAGTTTCGTTTTTAATTTTTAAGCTATAGAAATACGTAAGAAGATCCATGTACTGTTCTATAAGTTTCTTTTATTGCAAACTATAATTTTTCCAAAATAAAATACACATAAAGCTAGAAATAAATTAAGGTAATATCAAATATCAATAAAGTTCACCGTAATCCAAATTACAATATCAAATTTAAAATAGCATCAGTTGCAGTTGATATCACTTAAAAATTGTACTTTTCCATTTCCAGCTCATCATATATACATGTTAATTTTTTTGATAAAATTTAGTCTGAAATATTATAAGGATTATTTTATTATTATATAAATTGAAATTCAATTTTTTTTGTTATATCAAAAACTTAGGCGTAATATGAATTTTCACAATTAAATTTTTGTATATAATTTTTATGCATATTCATTTTTCAGAAAAACATCCAGTTAATAAGTGATTATCAATTAAAAACCATCTTTTCTTTTTTTACCTATGGGTTGTGGCTCAGTTGGTAATATAAGTTGGACATCTGAAAAGAGCTCTCGGGTTCGAGCTGGTCCCTGATAATAGAGTCTGGATACTGGTGGTTTACACAAAAAAAAAAACTTTTTTTTAATAATACTATGAGTTAGATGATACGATATTTCTTTTAAATTCACCAAATTATGAAAAAATTCTTATTAATTGAAAGAACTCAAATTCAGAATCTTTCACTCTAATTGATGGTTTATCCTATTTCTTTCTCTAACTGACACTCGTGTTTTTATTCAAACTAATGACGGCTAAATACCTTCTATTCACCAATGTATCTTTTTTTTTTTTAAATATTATAGCATTTAAAACTTTGGGTGATTTTGGGTTACATTATACAACTCTCTCTATAAGCAACAAGAGTTATTGATTTTTATATACAAAATATTGCTTGATGTGTGATTAATACAACTAGGGTTGAGCATTCGGCCAATTCAAATAACATTTTTAACCAAATAAACTAAAAGCAAATTTTTTTGCTTTAACTGAACTGAACTGAATCATTTTGGCCGAATTAATTTTGGTCATTGACCAAAACAAACCTAAAGAAAATGAAAACCTAATTAACCGACCGATTTAAGAAAAAATTGTGATTAACTTTACCCGAAATAAAAATTAATCAAATTACTAATCATTATTTAATCAAAATAAAAACTAAAATATTTTTAATTTTTTATTTTGTTATCTACCTAATCAAAACGATGAAGTTTTTAGAGTCGATTAATTTGATTAACTTTTAACCGAACCTTTTACCGATCACTGAAAATTTAATTTTTTAACCGAATATTTATTCACCGAACTGAATTGGCCAAACTGAATAATGCTCATCCTTAAATATAACTTTTCGAATAAAAATTTCATATTTTTCGATGATCTAACAAATATTTGATCGATTTAATTTTATATATTGGAGCAATAAAAATTACTGTGAACAGGAGGATTCAAACTCGAACGTTCACATTTTTCACATAGATAAGAAGATCGATAGGACCACCAGCTTGACTAACAACACATTAAAGTATTTAATAAGTACACCCCCAAAGGATTAGCCTAATGGAAACCATGGTGGACAAACTTCAGGTGGTCCGAGGTGCGAAACTTGGGGGTGTTTGATTAGCTTTTAACCGAACCCTTTACCGATCACCGAATATTTATTCATCAAACTAAATTGGCCGAACTGAATAATACTCATCCCTAAATATAACTTTTCGAATAAAAATTTCATTTTTTTCAATTATCTAACAAATATTTGGTCGATTTAATTATATATTGGAGCAATAAAAATTATTGTGAACAGGATGATTCAAACTCGAAAGTTCACATTTCTCATATAGATAAGAAGATCAATAGGGCCACCAGCTTGATTAACAACACATTAAAGTATTTAATAAGTACACCCCTTAGCTAAATGAAAACCATGCTGGAGAGGTGCGAAACTTGGGGGCGTCCAATCAGTTAATTACGCCCTCCAATACTCTTTAAATCAAACCAATCAATGTGGTTTTATTGATTTTCCTACATCTTTTTATTACAAAGGTTATTACTAATTTGGTGAATATTATTCAAAAGGGAGGGCTGCACCTGCGTAGCTTTCCCATATATTAAAAAAAAAATCTCTTTAAATCAATATTAAAATTATAAGATACCCAAGGTGGGTCCTAATTAAATTAAATACCGGAAAATTAGATCAATGTCCATGTTAGATTATGAATGTCATAACAATCTTGTGCAAAAAGTTAAAATAATACTAACAATAAAAAAAAAAAGAACAAAAATCCTAGTGACGAAGAGCCACGGCCTAGATATAGACATGCAACGCCCAGCCGGAGGCAACTGGCTTTTCTCGTGTTGACAAGAGCTAAAACATAATTATTTTTCTGTTCACGAGCATATAAGATAAATAAAAACTTATTTGTAATAAATGAATTTTATAAAATTTATAAAAATTTATTTATCAAAATTTCAGTATTTAAAATAAAAAAATTAGGTTGAATTTATAGAAATTAAAATAATTAAGTTAAATTCTATCAAAAATAATTTGATTTTCTAAATAAATTTTATAAAACTAAATAATCTAAATTTTTTTTACAAAAAATTCCAAATTAGTATTTTAGTAAACAAAAATAAATAAATTTTCAATTTAGAGTAATTATGTAGAATTTAATTGATTATATCTTATAAATTACAACATTCCATGGATGAAATTTTATTTACAAATAAATTCTAATTTAAATTTTATTTTGAATTGATTTCTATTAAATAAAGTGTTAGGTATATTGAAGTTGAAGGTTCTTCAATTTATCAGACTTTATGAAATTGGAAATATGAATCTTTATTTTTTAGTTAATTATATGAATCAATATAATATTTCTTACATATGAGATTTAGTAAGATCTGATCCCACATACGAGATTTAGTAAGATCTGATCCCACATATGAGATTTTATTTCAAATGATGAAATGTGAAATGTCACAATCTTATTTCAAAAGTAGCAATTAAAGCTTATTGATTTTTCCAAACATATGATAGAATAATAAAATTTTACAAATTTCACAATCTTTCAATTTCATGAAATTTATAGATTTTATAAAATCCATAAGTTTCATTTACCCATCAACTTTGCAATTTTAACCTTGTGACACTCTAAACTTTATAAATGACTTATTATACACTTGACTAGCAAAGTTTGGTAATATTGCACATATTTCCATACTAATAGCAATAGTTTTTAAGATTTTTAGCTTTTATATGCAAAATATTGATTTGATGTGTAGTTAGCAAATAATTTTTCGCATTTTTCAACTATATAATAAGTATGTAAATTGATATAATTTTTCAAGTTGAAGTGTTCAATAAAATAATTCTATAAGTTGAAATGTTTAATGTGTAATTTTATGAGTTGGAGTGTTAAATAGGTCAAAATAAAAGTTAAAGATGGTATAAAGTTAAAGTCATAATGCTCAAGAGTAAATTTATGTATTCAACCATATAAATAATCACAAAACCACATGATTAAATACCTACGCTCCTAATTCTACAAGTTTGTAGAATTTATCTTGGTATAAAGTAAATCTATGAATTTTGGATTTTTTTTTCTTTTTAGAATTTCACAACCTTCGTAATCTTAGCATATTTTCCAGAAGAAAAAAAAAAAGAAAAAAGAAATGACCACATTTGCCACTTTTCTATGTGTAAAAAGAGACATAAAAATATGGTCACTTTTTTTAATTTTAATTTTGATTTAGTATTATTTTAAAATCAGTTGTTTTTTTTATCACTAAAGTGACGGATTACCATTAAGGGTAAGATGAGATAACAAAGGTCCTTCTTTCTTAATCAGAAATTTTGGAGTTCGATACCTATGTATGGAGCATGTTTAAAACTTGGTAGGGAGTGTTTTACCCCTTTATCTTGAGTTCGATCCTTGTGTACGGAGTTGTAGGGGTGTGAGTCCAGCATCCCTACCCATGGTGCCATACCATGGTGACCTTATGGACGGAGTAAGGCTATTGGAGATGAGAATAGTATGTTGAATGGCATATGGACCAAGAATTTGAGAGGGGAGACCCGGCGTAATGCTCTCCGCCACCCCGGGGCCGGTATGCGAGACCCGGCCCTAGTGAGCTAGGTGTGGGCATCATGTTCTATCAAGAGGGACTAGTGTCTCCATAGAGAAGGAGCTCTATGGACACTATAGGGCCGAGGGCCTATAGTGCGCATCTCTCCTGCAATGAAGGTTTCGGTATAGGCAGGATTATGCCCTTTAACAGAAATTTTTGGGAGTTCCGATACCTATGTGATGGAGCATGGTTTAAAACTTGTGAGTGTTTTACCCCTATCTTGAAGTTCGATCCTTTGGTGTACGGAGGTTTTCCGGCTGTAGTGGTGTTGAGCCAGCATCCCTACCTCCATGGTGCCATTACCATGGTGACCTTATGGACGGAAGTAAGGCTATTGGAGATGAGAATAGGTATGTTGAATGGCATATGGACAGGATTGAGAGGGAGGAACCCCGGCTGTTAATGCTCTCGCCACCCCGGGGCCGGTATGCGGACCCGGCCTAGTGAGCTAGGTTGTGGGGCATCATGTTCTATCAAGAGGGACTAGTGTCTCCAATAGAGAAGGAGCTCTATGGACACTATGGCCGGGGCCTATAGTGCGCATCTTTCTCCTGCCAATGAAGGTTTCGGATTAGGCAGGATTATGCCGCCCGGATGCTCGAAGGCCATTGGAGCCCATATACGGTTGTGCTGGAATCCTTAGATAATGCATTGCACACATGAAAGGGTCCTATTAGGTTGGAAAGGATTGCAAAGGACCCCTTTCGAATATTGCATGGCTGGCCTGGTTATGAGCTAAGTCTCTAGGCGCCACATGCAAAGACCCTTCGAATATGCATGGCTGGCCTAGGTTATGAGCTAAGTCTAGGCGCCACACGCGTGCCAAAGGCTCCGAGATTCTGGCACCGTGATATTTGATATCAGAGCCCGATGACGGGTTATTGCTAGAGATGATTGGCTGTTGTTAGAAACTTGCATGCAAGTTATATTGGCTGAGGCGTATCATTCCAGATTAATGGTAACAGAGGCATGTAAGCAATGCGGGCTATGGATGGCAGTATCCGATAGGTGGCATCATGTCGCCCCAAGTAGTACACCCCTCCGAGCACAGGTGTGAAGGGTAGTAACAAGGAGCAGAATGGGTGCTGAAATGCGAGCTATTGA